GGCAGGGGGGGACCCTCATCCTGAGTGGCTGCGGAGAAAGAGGGGGGGGGAGGTGATGAGCGAAGCCCCTCCTCTTTGCCCGCGGCTCCTTGGCCCAGTGGCTCGGGGGCATTAGCACCGCCCCCAACCCCCCACCTTCGGTAGCATCTTACAGCAGCTCTAACCGTTGGAGGCACGGGGGCTCCCTCGCCTCTCTATTCTTGTAGAGGACCCCTCCCAGGACTTTGGGTCCCAACCCCAAGCGGGAGTCCCACTTCTCCAATCTAGACCCCCAACGTGTCCAGTGCGGATGGCAGTTTTGGGGAGGAGGGTCCTGAGGGGGGGCTGGGCAGAGTCTGAGGCCCTACGCTGACTTGGCTGCTGTCAGGACCTGTCTGTCTCGGTTCTCCGACTTCCCAGGCAAAGGGGGAAATGTAGCGGAGGAGATCTGAGCAAGGTGGGCAGAGGGTTTGGTGGGGAAAGGATAGGGATGGGGAGGCTCTGCGGGGCAGACGCGAGGGTGGGGGTGGGCAGGCAGGCAGGAGGGAGTGGGTAGGTTACTCACCATGTGGGCTGGGGCTCAGGCTGCCTCCCAGGCGCGGCGTCCATGGCTGGATACCTCCACGCCGACCTCGCCGGGCAAACCAAGCCCCCTCCCCTTCCGGAGAGGCTGCTCCAACCCAGAGAGCAAAGGTGGGGGAGCCCAGCTGGAAGACCAGGCGGGGTGTGTGTGTGTGTGTGGGGGGGGGTGAGGTAGTGGCGAGGGAAGCGGGGAGAACAGTGTAGGGGAAAAATTCTGCCTCGGATGGAGATAGGGAAGGGGAGCTGGGAGCTGGGAGCTGGGTGGGAAGGGAGAGGGGGCTACGAAGGGGTGTTTTTATTATGTTTTTTTTCTTCTTATGGTTGGGAGAGGGAAAAAATATCAAAATTCCGATTCCATCCCAGCACAAATCAATGTTTGCTCCATCCCAGCATCACGGGGGAGGCTGGGCCAGGCAGATTTAAAGGGGCAGGGAGAAGAGAGGCGAGGCGAGGGTGGGGAGAGGAGATAGAAGAAGAGACAGTGGCGACGACAGCGGTGGTAGGAGATGCACAGGCAGAAAAGGATGGCTGCCTGATAAACCTGCCGCGAGGAGGGGGCAGGTAGACCCTAGAATGAGAGGCACAGAGACCCCCACGGTGGGAAAACCCCCTGGGATTCTGGCAGGCGGTGGGGCGAGGCCGAGGGGAGGGGAGAGGAGTAAGGGGGAGGAGACTAGCTGGAGATGGGGCGGCTGGGGGGAGGCTGAAGCCTGGCGGGGGAGGAGAGATGCTGGCAAGGCTCGGAGAGGGCCAGAGGAATACAAAGAGAGAGGTGCAGGGGTGAGAGCTGAAGAGGGAGATACTGGCGGAGAGAGAGGAAGGGAGGGAGACCCATTCTGGGGCTGGTGAAGGATGGCAAGGAGGAGAGAAGCGGGGGAGGAGAAGAAGGAGGGAGAAAAAAAACCTCCTGGTGTTATTTGTGTGTGTATGTATGTATGTGTGTGTGTGTATGTGTGTGTGTGTGTGTGTATTGTGTGAGGAGGGAGGAAAGAAGGGAGAGAGAGAGAGAGAGAGAGAGAGAGAGAGAGAGAGAAATAAGGGTTGTGAAGGGAGAGGGAAAGCGCTGCAGGGAAGGGCGGATGGGGAAGCATAGAACCCAGCAGGAAGAGCCTGAGCAGAGGCTGGAGGGCTGGCAGTGGTGGTGTGGGGCTCTGGGGAGAAGGCTGAACCTGCCAGCTGCTTGGACTGAAGCCAGGAAACCGTTGATGTCTGTGTCCACCAAGTCCACTGTCCTCCCTAAGAAACCACTGCAGGGGGGCCAGGGGGCTCCCCCACAGCACTTGCTGGGGAAACTTGAAATGGGGCCCTGCCAAGAAGCCTGGCTCCACCAGTGCTTTTCCAGACCTCGACGTTCTTCACCCCCACCAGCTATTTCTCGTGGGTAGTCCCTCCGAAGGGGGAGGGCTGGCATGAGAGAGTATTGTTTTTGAATGGGGAACAGGGGGTCACGCTTGGTGGTGCCTTGAAGGTACTGGGGCTTCAGAGTCTTCTCTTTTCGGAAACCTAGAGGCAAAGGCACGTAGGCATGTTTGGGTGGGCCCTTACTGACACGAGGTCCCCTGCAGCCTACGACCCCCCCCACTTTCCAGGGGGGTGGTGCGTGGCGGGCCTCACTGTTTACAGCTGGAATAGGCACATGCTGTCTTCCCTGCCCCCTCGGCTGCCCCTAAGCATCTAGGAAGAGGACACTGTCCAGTTACACCCAACCGCATACATAATCAAGTGCCTTTATTTTCATACAAGGTCACCCCATCATTTTACAGAGAAGAGAACTGAGGCCCAGAGGGGGAAGTCACTCCCCGGAGGTCACACAGCAGAGGTGGCAGAGCCAGGATCAGAACACTAGACTTCAGACCTTTTCAGTCCCATAATCCCTCCCAGAATTCTGTGTGCTCGAGAACCTCCCTTGGATTCAGGAGCTCCATTTTTAATACTTTGGTAAAATAAAGAGCATGAGGTTTGGAATCAACAGGATTTTCCCTTACATTTGTTTTCCTAAAGGTGGATATGAGGTTGGAGAAACATGTACATTTTAAGCCTCTAGGGCAGTGGTTCTCAACCTTCCTAATGCTGTGACACTTTAAAACAGTTCCTCATGTTGTGGTGATCCCCAATTTCATTGTTACAAATTGAACATAATTAAAGCATAGTGATTAATCACAAAAACAATATGTAATTATATATGTGTTTTCCAATGGTCTTAGGCGACCCCTGTGAAAGGGTCGTTCGACCCCCAAAGGGGTCACAACCCACAGCTTGAGAACCGCTGCTCTAGGGCAGGGACTACATCTTAGTGCTTAGTGTGAAACAAGGCAGCTATGGGTCCATTTGACCCTTCTTCCTTCCTTCCTTCCTTCCATCCTTCCTTCCTTCCTTCCTTCCTTCCTTCCTTCCTTCCTTCCTTCCTTCCTTCTTTAACATTGACGCAGTTTACTGTGTACCAGGCACATTGCCAGGAGCTAGAAAGATACAGTGGTGAACACTGGTGCTTGCTCTCAAGGAGTTTACTATCTGGTAGAGAAGACAGACAACTAACAAGCAATTTTAATGCAGTTAATACTGTGATGGGTTCAAGGGCCGGAAATAGGGCATAGGGATGCAACCTAACTTAGGCTGGCTGCTCAGGGCAAGAGGCATTTAAGATGAATCCGAGGGCATTCTGGGGCAGGCCCAGCCGCTTCACATCACTTACCTCTAGGTATTCAAGCCTTCCTTCTTCACACAATGCCTTGTCTTGTCCAGCCCTTAATATTCTGCTTTTCTCCAATAAAAGGGAAAACAAAGAAAAAAAAAATAGGACCAGTCTATGGGCCTGGTGGGACCTGTGCCTTTTAAAAAATATATATATTTTTATTGATATCACAGAGAGGAATGGAGAGGGATAGAGAGAAGCACTGATGAGAAATAGCAATTGACTGCCTGCTGCACACCCCCCACTGGAGATGAAGCCTGCAACCAAAGTACATGCCCTTGACCAGAATCGAACTGGGACCCTTCAGTTCATGGGGCCTACGCTCTATCCACTGAGCCAAAAACCGGTTAGGTGTGCCCTGTTCTTTAGGCAGGAAGGGTGGCAGGGTAAGTGGAAGGTGGGAGTGATGCCTTGTTGGTAGAGTAACTCTACAGTGAATTATCAGCTGCAAATCAAGGTGTGGGGTCTGATGAATCCCTGAATAAGTAACTGACAGAACTATGTTGGAACTTGTGGAGCACACAGTCCCAGCCCCCATATCTCCCTGAGTAAGGTGGCCTTTCAGCTCCTCTTTAATGTGTTCCTATAGGTCCTATAATTTCTCTGC